ATAAGTGCTCCGCAGGATACTTGTTTGAAATGACGGATTATCCGAGCCTGGACGGAGACATGAAAGGAGGAGTTTGGGGACAATGACGATTAATATTTCGGTATCGATAGTTAACTGCCAGCTATAAGATGAGTCATCATTCATGACTAAGGCACTTTGAGCTGAAGCGGGTTAGATCAAAACACCGGTCTTGTTTCATACGCTGCAATACATAAATTACGATATCAGATACCGTTACATTCATTCAATCCACCCGGGTATATCGTAGTGTACCACCATCAACCTTAATGATATCGTAGGCAGATTCTAAATTTCTGATGATTATGCTTGGAAGCTAGTTTATTTTGTAAAAGAAAGTAAGGGACGTAGTTTACCCCACTGTGTTGTGGAATCGGTCCTCCATGGTACGGATACTCGGTGGCCCGTAGTCTACCAAGTAGGTACCTAGACATATGTACTTCTAATGTTGTGCTTCTGTGTGGATATTTGCCGCTTGACTGCTACGGAGTACTGCTTCCGTCTCTTGTTTCAGCTTCTGAAGTTTGCTAATGGTCTCTTTGTCCGGGATTTTCGTGGTCGCACCGTCTATCTAGATACTCTCTAGTCTCACCTTAGTCTCCCCTCGGAAGTCACTCGGCTTATCCATTCCACGAGGGGCGCAACATATCGCAGCGGGGAATGCATCCACTAACAATCACAATAAACGCGGTTAGCTTTCTTTAGACGATCTTATCAAGCAGTCAATCTCCCTGTTTTCAGCCAGGTCGCTTTGGGTCAATCGAATATTAAATGAACACTGCACGCCGCTCTCTCTGGTGTCCGTCACCTAGTGGTCTCCCAAGCGCTTGAAAGCTGAGCTTGAATCGGAGGCCATGATCATTAAGCCTTTTTCCACTGCCGCAATTGAAATGGTCTCTCAAGCCCAGGTTCTTGATCGCTCTGCGCCAATGCAAGGCGCACCCTCTTCTGTGTCGCGTCATTCGCATAGCGGTCGCCGCCATCGCTCGAGTCGTTCTCATCATGGCGGTCCTTCTCATCAGCCGCAGAACGATTTTCCAATCTTCACCCACACTGGTGATGTTGAGATAGTGATACGCGCCGGTGGACAGGAACGACGCTATCTTTTGCATCGATTGATATTGGCACAATGCTCCGGGTTCTTCGAGGCCAGTACGAGCGAGGGATGGTCGCGACAGGGCACAGCGAGGCCTCAGTACATCGATACGGGGGTAATGTCCCGGATCAGCGAGGATAACTCGTCGCTATCCAACGGATCAACCCTTGCGCAATCAGAGAGCGGCGCATGCGGAGTTCACCCAGAAAAGCGGAGGTGGAGATACGAGTTGGACTGGGAAAACAAGGCGGAAGACGAAGAGCCTATACTTGTGCAAAAGGTCAGTCTGAACAGTATTGATACGAAGTCCAACCACTGACGATGATATGAGAATATAGCAGCCAACGTTCTCCAACGTCATAGGGAGCGATGCTGTCCACTATCCACCGTCGATGACCAAACCTTCGAGCGCGCAAACTGGCTTCATCCGATCGATGGCAAATCTAGCAGGGATGCAATCTGTGGTCAACCTGCCTCACACGGCAAATACAGTAGCTGCGGACATGGATCCAATTATACGTGACTATGACAATTTGTTTCGCCTGTTCTACAACTATGCTCCTCTTCTCAATAGTGTCAACATTGCAACTGCTTATGCCGAGTGTCGATCTCTGCTTGCGCTTGCGGACATGTACGATGCCTTGGCGGTTACTGGACCTCGAGTAGACCATCATCTTCTCGGATTCGGATCTCGACTATTTAAGCAGATTGCCAAATACCCTCCGAGCTACCTCAAGTTGGGGTACCTCGCGCGCAGCCGGGTCATCTTCTCCGAGGCACTGATTCACGTTGTGGGCCAGTGGCCCGCGGCTTTACCGCACCTTCGCAACGGCTCATACTCACCCCTCCCGAACTCGGTTCTCGACATCATCGAGGACAAAGTCGAAGATCTCGAAGACCTCAGGGCGCGCGTCGACTCGAAGCTTCTGCGGTTGACGCTCACCACCTCCCGCGGCGAGCGCGTCACCCCCACAAACGCATATCTCGACTGGCTCGCCGTCTCCCTGTTCCGCCAGTGGCTCGTGGACAACACCACCCCTCCGCCGGCTCCGATTCTCAAAAACCCCTCGACGAACCGTCTGCCCGCCACAGGCGCAAACGTCAGCGCCAGCGCCAGCAACAATACCGGCCGCAGCCATCGCACCCAGGAAACGACATCGCGGGCCCCTCCTCCCTCGCCCCCTCTCACCCCAGCACAGGTCTACCGACTCATAGGCTCCCCCTCGACACAAGTCTACCTCTCGCACGACGAACTCAAGAAATTCCTCAAAGTGCACCCCACCCCATCCGCAGACTCGCTCTACACCCGGGACGTCCTCAAACGCTTCGAGCGTAAAATGGACGAAATCAAGCGGCTGGCCCGGGAAATCGTCAAGCCGCTGCTGAGAAATTTCCTCGAGTTGGACCTGAAAGGTACCGAGCTGGGCGACTCGGCGCTCGGCGCGTTGCCGTATCTCACCTGCACGAAAATTGAGGATGAAGATATCCCTTGGGATTGAGGAGTGACGATGACGAATAATGATGCTTATACGCGCTTTTGCTTCTGATATGATTTGATTTTTGGATGAATTAATGACACGGCCGCTTATGTATGGGAAAATGGCGGAGTTTTTATTCTGTTGTTTCCCGTCATGTCGATACGATCACGATACCCCCTGCTATATTATGCCATCTGATTCTAATTCTCCCCTTCGTTGGTTTGCCGGTCTAAAGGCAATGCTTTTATCCCGTGCTGTTTGATGTCTAGACGTAGTGTGATGAAGTTGTTCATTAGCTTAGTTAGGCTGTAATACAATCGATGTATTGACTGCTCTTCTGTGCAGTTCCCTCCCCCCCCCCCCCCCCCCCCCCCCCCCCCCCCCCCCCTGCAGTACACAAATATGAAGCATGGAGGGTTTTATATTTATGAGCGCTAATCAACGTGTTCTACATATTGTACAGCATGATACACACCGGAGACGAGAGAATAATCATACAGAAACGCCCGAAGGGAGCTAAGACTTCTCTCCAATAACCTCTAAACCCCCCATCCATTTCCGCAGCACTTCCGGGATCACAACCACCTTCCGTTTCTCATCCCATCCATTCTCCAGGATAGCGGCCAGCACACGCGGAACGGCCATTGCTGTCCCATTGACAGTGTGCGGGAAGCGAGATTCCTTCGCTGAGCCTCCGCGCACACGTGTACCCAGCCGTCGACTCTGGTAATCCGTGCAGATCGAGGCGGAGGTAACTTCTCCCCAGCCGGACTCGAAATCAGGCGAGGAGCTGCCGCTGCCGCTGCCGCCCGCGGGGGCGCGCAGCCGCGACGGGAAGAGAGCCTCGACGTCGCGTTTGCGACTGGCGCTGGCGCCGAGGTCTGTGGTGGGCATTTCCAGGACGCGGCAGGGCAGGTTCAGGGAGGTGAGGATCTCGGTCTGGATGTCCAGGAGCTCGGCGAAGAGGTCGTCGGAGGAGCTGGTTGCGGGGAGGGTATCGGCCCAGCCGAAGAGTTCTACCTTAGTAAATTCGTGCACGCGGTACAAGCCCTTGGTGTCGACGCCGCGGGAGCCTGCCTCGGCGCGGTAGCAGCGGCTGGCGCCGACGAGTTTGAGGGGGAGGGAGGAGGCGTCGAGGTCGCGGCCGGCGTACATGGCTGCCAGAGGGATCTCGGCTGTGCCGGTCAGGGAGCGCTGCGGCTTACTCTTGTCCTTGTCGCTCTGCTCGATGGCCCAGATCTGCTGCTCATTGTGCTGGTCGCGGGGTTGGAAGCCGCAAGCTTCGGCGATGTAGGAGTAGACGATCGATGGCGGGGACACGACTTTCCAGCCGCGGTTGCGGGCTACGCTGAGGGCGTACTGAACCAGCGCTTGTTCCAGCAGCGCTCCTTCGTTTATCAAAAAGTACCAGCCCCAGCCTGTGGTGGTCGCAGAGCTTGTAAAATCGATAAGATCGAGCGCGGTGCCGATAGCGACATGAGACCGCGACGGGTCTGGACGGCTAACCCATTCTGGGGGGGACTGGGGGTCGAAATTGATGTATGTGACAAGCTTTGGATCGTCTCCGACGGGGGTTTCGGGGGAAGAAAGGTTCGGCAGGGATAGGGCGAGCCGTTGGATTTCTTCTGTGCAGGTTGTTCTCCGGGTATTCATCGCATGCGATTCATCCTTCAATCGTTGTGCCTCCGACCGAAGAGATGCCAATTCTTCCTCAATGGCACTGGATGCGCCATCTTGTCGAGCGGATGCCGCATGATTCGCTATGGTCTTCTCCAATTGCTTAATGCGGGACCGCGGCGTTTTGAGATCTTGATCAAGACGCCTTGCTTCTTCTGACAGTTCCTGGATTTTGTAGGGATAATCAGCATGCGCCGGGTAATTGCGATCAACGCTGTTTTTCGAGTAGAGCTCTGCGTTCTGGCGGATATGTTTGATGTCGGGGGTGGGTTTCGGAGCCGTTGGGGGCCGCAGCAATTCCGAGTTACGGACAGACGCAGTGAAGTTGCGTTGTGTGAGCCTGCTCGTCAATCTGCAATTGAGGCAGATGTACGGTGGTTTGATCGACGCCATGGCAGGCCGAGGGAGGTGTTGTTATAAATGCGCGGGAGATATGGGCCGATGGAGGAAAAAGATAAGAGCTGAGCTGGCGCCGCCTTTCCTAATTCGGTAATCTGCATTCTAGCACTTTTATGTTCTTGGTACCATACATTCCCAGTATATATATATATGATACGTTCCGTCGTGCATTTTCTCTGTATTTCATATTGTATATGTCCGCTGCTAGAAATATATCGTTCACAATCCCTCGTCCCTCCCATTGATATCCAGGCCGGCAACGTGCAAGTATCGACCAGTTGCGTCCCTGTGATTCGTTCGGACTTCCTAGCAGATTTCTGGAAAAAAATGCTCTAGAAGCCCAGTTTGTGCTTCTTGATTCTGGCACCGACTCCAGCGATAATCAATACCGCTGCGACAAGAACACCCCAAAGCGGAATGTGCAGGACAGCCACATTATATGTCGTCTTGGTTGCCGCTGCCACCGTTGCTAGTTCCAAGACAAGCACCGAGTAGCCAAAATGGCGGTGGTACTTGTATAGTTTCTTGCCCGCTTCGGCACTTCCAAGGATCGCGACAGGGAAGAAATACTGAACAACTCCCAGCAGTGCTTGAAGGACGATGCAGATGTAGGTGATAAGTCCAAAGACAGCATGCGGCGATGTCAGCCGCGGATGATCGCCCTTATTAATCTCGATGATGGTGAATGCGGTGACGAAAGCAGCCAGGCTGATTGCCTGCAGCGAATAGTGGATTCGAGTGCCCAGGAGCTTCTGCTGCGGCGTTGCCGTTGGCTGTAGGATGAGAGCGGCTTGTACTTGGAGAAGTATAGCGGAGGAGTTGAGCAGCTACAGATATTAGGCATCTTTCATAGTACCATCTATACTCCATGATATGGGGTCGACGACTCGACGTACCGGATGAGCAGAAAAGAAGATCAAAGGATGGGAGAAGATGCCAGCCCAGACGAGGGCCGCAAGCTAGGAAACCGCGTCAATCACAGTGACACGAGAAAGCAGACATGCTAGCTTGAATAACCAATCTGCTGCAAGGGTCACCTTACAAGCAATATGCCGCACTGAGCGACAGCGGCAGTTCCTACAGCCGATGAGTTAGTATCAAGCCAGACAACCTCACATTCAGCAGCGCATACCTTTGATTAAATTGCGGTAAATAGGGTCGCTATCTGTTTGCGTTACTGCACCTGGTCCACCCAATAATGGCTCATCTTCTCTGGCCTCAATGGTCTGAGGGTGTTCCTGAGGGACTCCTGTGGCAGAGGCCATGAGTATGAATATTACTGCGGAGGTCGGTTATCGTCTTCAAGATGGTCTTCGAGGTATGGAGATATTTGTTATTGAAGAAAGATAAGAGATTCAACCGGCAGTCTGGAGGTTAGATGCTTGTTGCTTATTATAATAGGCAGGCCAAGTCAATGACGAAATTCAAGGGGGCTGATTGCCAATACATGCGGAGAAGACCAACTACGGAGGAAAATCGAAGGACCATGGAAGTCCGTACACGCCCACTACGCACGCCAGTCGATTCTACAGGACAAGTAATTCAAGATCAATGATCTTTTATCGGATTCAAAGCACTCGATATTATGTCTCCAAACAAAATCACAGGCGACCCAGAACTGAACCCTAGAATCAAAGCAGAAGCCAAGATCAACAACCTCATCGTCTTCGATCTGCTGCATAGTTAGCAGAACACACAGACTCAACGTCACAAGTAGAAAACAGGAAAAGATGTCCTAGGAGACGTTTAATAGACAAGATTAGCATTGGTCTCAAGCATCCTCGCAATCACAATCACAATCATTATGGAGTTGGGACTTGCAACCATACCAATGTTCGTTGGCAAGTCGGCACGACTCATGGTCGCACTCATGGCTACAGAATCTCTCACGAAGATGGTCGTTTAGCTCTTCCTCATCACTGTCGCTGTCATCCATGTCAGTGTCAGTGTCATTGTCACTGTCGTCAGCCTCTCCACCAGGGCTCGGGGGGCATGAGAATCCGTCAGTCTGCAGCTGCGGGCTAGTAAACGTCTCGAGTGTTGGGGATAGACCAGCCTGGAGGTCCTGGGATTCCTCCTGTCCCAAGGCTACAAGTTGCTCTTCGATGTCATCCATGACTTTGCTGATGATATCGGCCTCTTCAGGGTACGCGTACAATAGGTTCGTCTGTTCCTGGAGGGCGGCCAGGAGGGCGTCGCGTTCGTTGGATGGGTCTTGGTAGGTAGACATCTTGATATTCTGAGATAAGAACGGGGTCGAATTTTATCAATAAAAGATATTCGAAGAAGAATGGATATCACTGCTGAGAATCAGGATGATGATGGTAATGAGGCCATTGCAAGTGCAAGTCAAGGCCATTATATAGACCGACGAGGACAAACATTCGTCTTCATCTGGACAGATAGCATCTGTCTCATGCGATGTGTTTATTGATACAATTCGAGCCCGAGTGTCTCAAAATTTGTGCACAACGGAACAGTTGAAAAGCCATTGTTGTCTTGCACAATGCATTGTCTACTTATATACGTCTTACAACATTCAGACCCATTGTGGAACAGACAACGCGAGATTGAGCGCATTATTGAGTAAATCCAAATGAGAACAGAACGTAGCTAGAGAAAATGAGAAGACATCAATGTCCTTGAAACCACAATCCGACACTGTTATGCCCAAGGCATCTGTATCACGGCAGTCTCCTCCCCAGAACCTGGTCGACCAACGACAAGTTCCGCGCTGACATTGTCTTTCTCCAGATTCATAATAATATTGAAAATGGTCCTAGACCGTACCGCAGGACCGCGACTAGGATCCTCCGAGCAGCAGATAGCCTGTGGCGCATTGAAGGTATCCGAGAAGATCTTGTCTCGTAGGAGACCTGGTGTGATCTGAGACCCGGAGATACCGCCACTGATCAGCTCACGAAGGAGCTGGCGGACTCGATCCAGCCGAATTGGAGAGCCGGAGAGCCATGGGGGCTCAATCACGTTCCGATTTTCGATGAAGTGGTTCGAGTGGGTGATAGTTCCCAGCACATCTTCCTTGAGGTACACATCTCCCAATGGCGAAAGTTCAAGTCCCAATGCGGTTGTGCTGTCTGCAACTAGGATGTGTACACTGCAAGCTATACCTCCCAGCTCAGAGATCCTTTCAGCCGCCATCTGGGCCGATTGACTTTCAAGACACAGGCGGAGCGCCACATGGATAGGGATTTTTGAACTGATGCACGGTTTCGCCCGAATGGCGTTGAGGCAAACGCCTACACCTGCACTGTTGAATCCGATCTTTCCAACAATACCGGCCTGTTTTAATATCAGTGTTAGTCTATATTGTCAAATGCAAACTGCGAGGGCAGACCAACCTCGGTAACCATGAAGACTTTTGGTTTGCCGGGCTGTTCGACTGACATGATGGCGATATTCTTCCCCGCAGCGGGAGCCCAGTCCCAGTTCTGAGCCAGGACTCGTCCATTGTCATGTTTCTTCCAGGATAGACTTGTGCAGCCATCGGCAAAACTGCCCATGGCAATTTCACTGCGACAGTTCAGCGCCACAATGTCGAGAAGATCCAACCCCGCTCCCTCTGCTATACCCTGCATCTCTGCGTAGATGTCGGGCAGTTTCTTCTCTAGTGATTCACGGAACTCCTCGGCGAGATTTGTGACAGCGTCCCAGGACATCTTGGAGGCCTCCAAAAACATGGCCTCGTAGACTTTTATATGGTCCTGGATCTGCTGTGATAGGATTCGGCCATGTTCAAGTCCGATCTATCGGTGACCATCAGTCCATACTTTGCAGAAGCAAAACAAGATGATGTAACGAATACAAGTGTGGGGGAAAGTTACTTCTCTTGGAGAACCCTTCAGCTCCAATCTGGGCGGTTCTTGTATCTGAAGCTGCATTGTGAGGAACGGCACGTAGGTAACTGTATGAGTATACCACGAGACCTTCAACGCCTGGTATCAGCAGTCTGAGGATGGAAATAGATGGAAATTCCAAGATTTATAAGATTCGGAGTAGTTGTCCCCTCACTTGGTCGGCTGTTCTCCGAGACCCCTGTCATATGCTGATTGGGGTCGTACTCGGAGATAGTTGGTCATCTATGTATACGTACCTGACAGCGTTATAGCTTCATCATTATTCTTGAACTTGCAAAGAGTTCTGACAATTGAGTGACTAATACTTGTACCTGCATTCTGGGAATTCTACCTCTCTCCCATGTTATGTCATCTATGACAGGCCACGCTATGTCTAGTATACTCCAAAACAAGCGAATATGAGCCCCATCCATCACGATCATTCACTCTCATCGCACACAACTACAAACAACGTCATGCGCTATCCAAACCCTACAACATTCACTACCTCATGTTTGTTGATACTCTGCATGCACCTCGCGTCCAACCTCGCGTCCATATCACCCTACAACGCCTCCCTCCTGCCTCCTCCTGCCTCCTCCTAACAACCACTGCATACAAACCTCAAGAATCAACACCATGCCTGCAGAAATTCTGTAACACTTCTCTACCAGCTCCATCTCCTCACCTCAGCCTGCCCTTGCAACCCTCCGGACCTCATCTCTTTTCAATTAAACCCCATAAAACAATAATCCAAAATGGCCAACGCAGAGCAAGAACGCCAGAAGATCCTAGCCACCCTCTCACACATCTTCTGGTCCAACACCGACATCTCCACCGGCATCACCCACAAACCCTACGGCGTGGACTGGATCAACCTCGAAAGAAACATGTACCGCCTCTGCGTCCTCCAAGGCAAGGTCCGCGACGGTGACAAGGTCCCCGAGGATCCATGGGAGATGTTCCTACGCGAGTTTGCGCCGCTTACGAAACGTCCCGCTGGTCAGCGACAGCCCTCGACTGCGTACTTTCCTAGCTCGATTTTGCGGTCTTCGGTGGGGAACGTGAATGCAAACGCCGGTGGCAGTGCCAGTGCGGGTCAGGGTGGTCAGCTTCATGTGCGTTTCGAAGTGCCTTTGCTGCGTCGCTCGGATGAGAACCGGCAGAACTTGGGCCGTATCCCGCGTTACTTGAATTGAGGGCAGGCAGGCTGGGGCTTGGTTTTGTCGTTCTGGATGTCGATGTCTTGTGAGATTGTGGGTTTCTTTTTGTCTGGATGGTGGAAGGAGACTGACATGTTTGCAGGCATTTTGCCAATTGCGGTCAACTTGATCTGCCCGCGTTGTCTGGTATAGTGGGATGGCTGGCTGGCTTGGTACGGATACGCAATGGACAAACATCAGTGTTGTGCGTTTTGAAGGGCATGGTCATGGTCATGGAATGTTGGTCCTGTACAATAGTTGCTTGCTTTGTGAGATGTAAATGCATCCATTCTAAGACTGTATGTATCCTGAGTTTTGTCTCCAACATCTGTCATACACCATCCAACTCTTACTCAGTGTGCAAGGGTCTATTTCTCCATGGATGTGGAAACACTTAAGAATCCTTGATCAAATGCTTAAACAGCTTATCAAGGTAATAAGCAGATTGCTTAGGGTACCGAGTCTTCTCCGGTGAATTAAAGTCGATAAAGGTACACCCGAACCGATCGGTATAGCCCGCAGCCCATTCTGTACCACTATTAGCATGACAATTTCACACGAGACAGAAAGCTCACCCCAATTATCAGTAAATGTCCAGGCAAAGTAAGAGCGGATATCAACCCCGTCCTCCTTGACTGCACGAGCTAGTGCCCACCCAACATATCCCTCGAAGAACTTGATGCGGAACTGATCGTTGAGAACACCAGGTGTCGGCGTTGTCTCGCCCTTGGCTGTCGTGCCATTTTCCGTCACGTAGATGGGCATCTGATACCGAGACCAGATCCAATTCAGAAGCTTTCGGAAGCCCCAGGGGGCAGCCCGCAGCCACTCCGTGTCGCTCTCTCCGCCTCGAAGAACACCCTGTTTGTTGAAATCATGGATCTCCACATTCCCCTTGTGGTCGTTAATGTCCGCAGGCGTGGTCTTGTGCTTGACGAAGAAGGACGTGTACGAGTTCATGCCGTAGAACTCGGAACTCCCAAGCACCAGCTTCGACTCCTCCGGCGTGAACTTGGGCAGCCGGTCACCCAGCTGGGCCCTCATCGAGGCCGGATAGTCACCCGTCTTGTAGAGCGGGTCCGCGAACCAGGCAATCTCGAACTCGCGCGCGCGCTCAGCGGCTTCTTGGTCCAACGGGTCGGCTTCGTCCCATGGCTCGGACCAGTTCCCGTGAAGCGTGATGCCGATGGTCCCCTGCTGATGGGGCTG